CATCTCCGCCGCGCCCCCCACGAGACGAAGCACGTGGCGACACTTGCGCACTTCGTAAACAACCCCACGGAGCCGCGAGGTCTCGGCTGGATCCTCGCGTGGCCCCCGATTCCGTTGGACCTCCCAGGTGCCAGCGCACATGCAGACCATTGCGCAGTCGCAGCCCCCCCAGGGAGCAGCGAGGTATCAAATTGAAGGGGCCCCAGGACACACAAATAAATACACACAGATAAAAAGATTCCCAATATTTTTCCATATTTTCTGGGTTTTTGTCTTCCCCCCCACTTCCCATATTTTCCCATATTTGCTTGGGGATCGACGATTAATTGTGTCTGTGTGTTTTTTCCCCTCCTGACAAATGGGTGCGCGTGGCCCCCGGCTCGGCTTCACCTCCCAGGAGCCCACGACAGTGGAGACAACTGCGCAGTCCGCAGACACCCAGGGAGCTGCGAGGTCTCAAATGGGTGTGTGGGTGGCACCGGTCTCCGCTGGACTCACCTTCAGGCTGGCCCAAACGGTGCCCAGTGTGCTCCAACCGGTGCCCCAAAATTCATGGTTCTTGGTCGCGCGTGGTGCGTTTCGCGATTGCCTTCCCGGTGTGCCCCATACCCTCGTGGCCCCTTCTCTTGTTTGCCCGAAACCTTCCGGGCCCTCTTTTCTCGCTTGCCAAATGCTCTCGAGGCCCCCCTCTCACGGCACCGTGGGCTCCATCTTTGCGACGCGAAGCCGTTGCGACACGGTGATGTCACGACGCACCGCGGCGCTGCACCGACGCAGAATTCTTGCAATCCCACATTCGGATGGTTGGCAACGTGTCCGGAGTGGACCCCTTGCGCGCCCAACACGGAGCCCGTACGGTGCCCGGAATGGATGCCTGAATTGGCCGCTCGCGTGCCCCAAAATGCGTCCCCCCAAAAACCAGGTTGCGCCCAAGAAAAAAAAGGCTTGGTGTCCAAAACTGCGCCCCACATGGAAGCGGGCAAACGGCGCGGAACATCCTCGCACCCGAACCGACACAACTCCAAAAACCGTTTGGGGCACCTCTTTGGGCACCATTTTGGGTACGGCGCAGCGTTTCTTGGGGCACCATCGAGCCCGCGTCTTTGGGCAGAGGACCTCCCGAGATGGACCAGCGGCGGCCGACGGGCCTGGGCACAAGGCCCCGAGCCCAACGACATGAATCCTCGAACCCACGATGCAGGTCACTCGGGCCAACGACACAAATCCGCGGGAACAGCATCGCGGGTCTCCAGGGTCGTGGCGGAGGCCCCGGGGGCAACACTGCAGTCTGGTGCTGCTGCTCTCTAGTACCACAGCTGGGCGTGGCGCCTGAAGCACTACGGTGCGCGCCGCACGTCGGACAATCTCTTCGCGCGCACTCCCGGTGAACGTCATGACGAGAGGGATGATGGGGCACAAACGACTTTGAGGCCCGCCCATTCGGGTTCGTGGGCCCGCCTTGCTATGAGTGGAACTCCCGGATGCCCACGATAGTGGTGACGTTTGAGCACCTCGCAGCCACCCAGGAGGCTGCGAGGTCCCGTCCGGATCCGCGTGCCCCCCGACTCCGTTGGACCTCCCGGGAGCTCACGAAGGGTGGCGCCGGCTGCGCAGCTCGCGGCCACCAGAGCTGCAGGGTCTCGTCCGGGCGCGCGTGCCCCGTAGCTCCGCCGAGGCTCCCGGGAACCCGCGAAGGTGGCGCAGCTGGCGCCGTTCGCAGCCACCCGGGGGCACCGCGAGGTCTTTGCTGGGCGCGCGGGCTCGGGGACTCCGCCAAGGCTCCAAGGAGCCCACGAACGTGGCGCCAGTGGCGCAGTTCGCAGCCACTCAGGGAGCTGCGAGGTGACGGCTGGGTGCGCGTACTCCGTGACTCCGCCAAGGCTCCAGGGAGCCCACGAAAGTGGCGCCAGTTACGCAGTTCCCAGCCACCCAGGGAGCTGCAAGGGTTTGGCTCGGTGCGCGTACTCCGTGACTCCGCCGTGCTCCCAGGTGCCCACGACAGTGGCGCCCATTGCACAATTCAAGGCCACCCATGGAGTTGCGAAGTCTCGGCTGGGTGCGCACACTCCGTGATTCCACTGTGCCTCCAAGGAGCCCACGAAGGTGGCGCCAGTGGCGCAATTCGTAAACAGCCAGGGTGCAGCGCAGCAGGAGGTCAGAGGAGAGGGGAGGAGGAAGCGCAGGAGGGTGCAGGAGGCGGGAGGAGAAGAAGAAGGTGTAAGACCGCAGTGCTCTATTCAATAAGAGAGCCCACCACTGGAGGTCTGATAACAATCGTAACGGAAGATTTCGAAGTAGAGGTAGTGGTAGTAGTAGTAGTAGTAGTAGTAGTAGTAGTAGTCGTAGTGATCGCGATTGTAGTCGCAGACCTACTCGCAATCGGAGTCGTAGCTGTCGCCGTAGTCGACGTGGTGCTGGCAACGGTCGTAGTAGTAGTAGCAGTAGTAGTAGTAGTAGTAGTAGTAGTAGTAGTACTACTACTACTACTAGTAGCAGTAGT